GCACACCCATTGAATTTGGAGGAGAGTCCAAACCCACCAACATACCTCACCCTCAGTCCTGTTAATAAAGCAGAGTAGCCTTGGGTGCTGCCTCCTGTTTCCTTGCAGATTCGAAAAGGAAGGTGGTTCCGGGCCCTAATCAGAAGCTTCCTGGCAGAATGAGGCCTTGGCAGTGGCTTTACCTGCGGAAATGCTACAGTGCAGGGCGTGAGCCTGCTGTACACTGCCCCGTCCACGGGCTGGTTCTGTTAACTCCAGAACTGGCTTCCCCCAGGTCTGCACTCCCTCCACTGCAGGCCTGAGCTCTCCTTGCCCCTGGCTGTCTTCTGCAGAGAACCTGCTCTCAGCTGCCACAGGAGGGCGCTGGAGAACGGGTCTGAGCAGAGAGGCAGGTGCTGCTCTGCAGGTCCTCCCAGGCACCACCCCTTCTGGAGGAAGGCTTGGGAGTCCCCTAAGACAGATCATCAGTTATTTTCCTCTGCCTGTGACCCAGTAAGACCTGCTCCCCGCACTGTGCTAGGGATCACTTCCTTGTTGAGTGGGACCTGAGTTTTAAAAGGGTCTTGTGCTCCTTTTCATCTGGCCCCTTTCCTTCCCAGGCCCCAGAGAGGAAGGCATGGGGTGGGCCCTAGCTCTGCTTCTAGCTTTCCTGCCTCCTGGTGAGTGTGCTGCCTACAGAGAGGCTCACGGGTTTTGTTTTCTTCTTTTGCAAGGGGTGCCATACTAAGGAATGCCTCATTATGTTTTGTGTTGTTCCCATTGCAGAAAGTCAGAAATCTTCCAACTTGGAAGGGAGAATGAAGTCAGTCACTGGGACAACTGGGTCATCTGCTGTAATCACTTGTGATCTTCCTGGAGAAATACCAGACACATCCATTGGTACCTCCACCAGGAGGGGAAGTCCCCACAGCGTCTTCTGTACTGTGACACCTACAACTCCAGGGTTATGTTGGATTCAGGAGTCAGTCCAGGGAAGTTGGATAGCTATGCAATCATGAGGAGCTCGAAATTGATAGTGCAAAATATAACTGAAAGTGATTCTGGCGTTTATTACTGTGCCACCTGGGACAGGCACAGTGGTTCAGACCTGCCTACACCACACTGAAAACCTGCCTTGCGGCTGCTTGTGGTACACAAGATAGAGCTGCCCCCTCTCATTTTCTGCCCTCAAAATTACTGTATTCTGTACAAAGAGAAACACAGCTTTACTCCTGATCTCCCCCTAATAACACGCTCCCCTGGCACAACTGCACCTGTTCCCCACCCCTCCCCCAGGACTTTCCTGAAGACCAAGCTGCCATCTCCAGGCCTCAGCTAAGCAGCCTGCCTGAGAGCAAGGTTCTCTCCGCTCTCCTAGGACATGGGAGAGGCCCACTACTCTGCTTCCTAAGACACACA